AGTCCATCGACCATCATTCCCGACGTCGCTTGGTTCTCCACTATGGGGGATGCCCCCACGTGCTCTGACTCCATGATCACTGGTTTCACCAACTACACCTTGGAGTAGTCCACCTAGATAGTTTAACTTGGATGGCCACTTGTGATGCTTTTGGGTAAATGCGTGATGAATGCTTACGAGGATTATGTATGATGTGTTATTTTAACTTGCATTCCTTCTTCAAATCTTTTTGTCTTTCTTTGTAGACGAAGAGGTATGCGGTGTACAAAGGTAGGTGTCCAGGACTCTATTTTTCAAGTAAAATTTGGTGGAAGGATGAGATCGAGTAAAAATCGTTGGGAGGGTGGGATCAAGGGGGTCGGTGGAAGGAGGGATTGATGGGAGTACTAACAGAACGACGCACGGACTCTCTTTGTAGGAGTAGAGATGCGGAGCACAAAATAATAGGTTGATCATAGAATAAATGAAACCAAAAAATAAAAGAAAATGAAAAACAAAACATAGAAAAAACCAATGCTGGGGATATCGCTTATCGGGAATTTATCGATCGACTCATGATAAGGGGTAAATCGGCCAGTTTATCGGCATATCGGCCGATTTATCACCATATCGGCGGATTTATCGGCCGGTTTATCTTATCAGTCAGACAATGATAAGCGATAAATCGGCCGATTTATCAAAATATCGGAAGATATCTTGAACAGTGGAAAAAACAAAAAACAAAAATGCGGTGCGCGTCAAATGAGCTGACCAACTTTGGTAAGATTTTATTTGATTTGACTATGTTATTGTGCGACGTTGTTTTGGGAAAGTGTCGATTTGATTGAGTTAATGCACGCGTCAAATAGTCAGTCCAACTTTGGTAAGATTTGATTTTATTTGAATGATTTAATGCACACAGTTGTATTGGGAAAGTGCCGATAAGTTAATGCACGCGTCAAATGGGTTGCCAACTTTGCTAAGATTTGTTTTGATTTTTTCTTGGGCAAAAGATTTGATTTGATTTGATTTGAATGAGTTAATGTGTGACGTTGTTTTAGGAAAGTGCCGATTTGATTGAGTTAATACACGCTTCAAATGGGCCGGCCAAATTGGTTGTGCTTGAGCAAAAGTTTGTCCGTAAGACGCTTGCGGGTGTAATATAGGATTTGTGGAGTGGTTGGTGGGAGATGAGTAGATATACCCAAAACACAGTTGAATCTAAAATTAAAATGCTCAGTTGGTTATGCAATAGTAATTCCACACCGTGGTGTATCACATAGGAACAAACCAATTTCGCTCGGGCTACGATGCTAGTTAGGTAGCTAGTCTCTCGGATGAACGCCGTATAGGTTGTAGTGAAAGACATGTTAATTAGATTTCCATGCTTGATTTTATGCACGACTTTTTATCTGATTAGGACCACATGTAGAAGGAATTGAGATAGATTGGTGTAAGGGTGTGGCTAGGTCTCAGTCGACTGAGACTTAACGAAGTCTCAGTCAAGTGATATTGTATATAAGAAGAAATAGAAAAAAACTGAAAATAATATTTTTGTACGAATCTCCATGCAAGATCAAAGGCATATAATATGGACTGAGACATAACGAAGTTTTAGTCGACTGAGACTTAGCAAAACTGTTGGTGTAATGGGTTGTATGTATTGCTTGAGCCTTTTGGGCATATATATAGGAGACTAGGAGTACATTATCTTTTCGAAATACAAGACACCATAGAATAATTTCTATTCTATCCCATGTTTCCCAATAATCATGATACTCAACATCCCCCATAGTTACAATGGTAGTGAAGCAGATGGCGATCGAAAACAAAAAAAAAGAAAACATCGATCAAACGAATGGCGAGAGAGAAAAACCTTGATCAATATATCTGGAAAAAGACTAGGGCAGCCAATCAACATGATCAGCAAACGAACCCTAGGTACGGGCGGCACGGCCCCCGGTGGCGATTATGGAGATCGACCGCCTCGGGGGCGACGCGATGCGGAAGCGCCAGCGACGGCTAGGTTGTGGATCGAGATTAGGCTGATACCATGTAAAAGGAATAGAGAGGGACTGGTGTAATGTATGAGTACAAGACAAGCTAGAATAATTCCTGGTCTATCCCATATTTCCTAATAATAACGATACTCAACAGCACATATAGTCTATCTTATGTTTCCTAATAATAACGATACTCAACAACAAATGTATGTACCAAGTGATCTTAAGCGCATTGTGAGAAGCATACCAAATAAAATCAAATCATATATATGTAAGAGTAGTAGAATGCACGTCATTTTTATGGTCTCACTGATTGCTACAAGTGATGGCATTTCAATACCAAGTATATAGAACACGTACATAGTTTGGTTATTACCGAAACCTTACACGCGAGGAGACCCGTGAGCATATCCCGGGCTAAGCCCGACCTTTCCTACCCGAATCACATTCTCTGATTTGTCCCAGGCCCTGGCCTGGCCCGCCCGAACATGAACCCTAGATTCGAACCTTCCATATTGTGCGTGCGGCCGGGACCTCTGGCGCCCGCCCAGCCCCGTGCACGGTTGGTTCAAACCGAAGAGAAGGAGGCCGCCATGACCAACCCGCACCCCGCCGCCAGACACCAACCACCATGCCACGACCTCGCCGACGACCAATGCAAACCATCGCGAGTTCTCACCCCGCGCCGACCAGCCCGAAGCACAAGAGAACCCTAACCGGAGCTAGGCCTGCCACCTGAGGGGACTCCAAGCATGGGCGTCACCATGACCGGAGGAGATCCCCACGCCCCCTAGCAGTCGACGGACAAAACTGCCCAGATCAGATCGAGCCACGACGCCCCCCCCCCCAAAGGCGCCCCGTGTGGCCTCCACACTCCATCCAGGCGCAACCATGGGAGCGGAGCACACGCAAGCCCCCTCCCAATGCTGCCCTTCATCGTGGCGTGCTGCCTAGCGCGCCGCCGCCAATCGGAGGACGCCCGCCCTCACCAGCCCCACCAGCAGAGGGGAGAGGAAGCCCCCCCGCTGCCGAGTGGAGGTGGGATGAGGGGTAGAGACCGGCGGCGGTGCTAGGGTGGCCCCCAAGGTCGCCCGCGGGAGCGACGCGGGAGGGAAGTGGGATGGGGGGGGGTGTTGTGGAAAAAGATCAGTGCCGACCCTCGTGTATAACTAACAAGCATTTTTTGGTTGTCTGCCAATTACCCGCTTGCAGGCTGCGGAGGCGGAGCTGGAGCTTCACTTCCCGGGGCTCATTGCCAGCCGGAAATGGGGAACGGGCGCTGGCGATAATCTAGACTAGTTAGAGTATAGTTTAGTTAAAAAAGTCTGAAATGTAATGAATCTCGTCCGATTTGTATAAAAATCATCTGGTTTCCATGAATTTTCTACTGTTTATTTAAATCCGATTTAAAATATAGTATGTGAATAGTATTGGATGACCGGCTCTCGCATCCGTGTCCATGAGCTATTTCTCTGTCCCCAGACGACCCTATTTCTCTGTCCGCAGACGACCTAATTCCTAAGAAAAACATTCTTCGGGAGGCAAAAGAAAAAAGACCTCATGACGTTTCCGAAGCTACCCCTCCACCCTCGTAGCCCCGCCTCTGCCCTTGCGGACGCACGTCTCGGGGATCAGGAGGGCATTCCGGTACAATGACATGAGCCAACAGAAAAGTGGCGAGAGCGGCCAGCATACAGGAATGTCAAAAATACGGTGGGCGCGGCTCTCGAAACTGAATTGAGTTGGAAGCAAAAAAGGTAAGAAGGGCGAGCGAGCGAGCGAGAGGGAACGCAGCACGAGAAGGGCGGCGGAGAAACCCCTCCCTTGCTGCCTCCCTCCGATATCCCGCCGCCGCGCCGGATCGAGGTAAGTGGTTCCTCCCTCCCTCCTCCCCTCAGTCTCCGGGTTCTCACCTTCCCGTCCGGTTCGCGGAATCACGGACCCCGTGCGCGCGCGCGCGACCGGCGAGGGTTGGCGTTCGGTTTGTTGAGGAGCCGCGCCCGCGAGCGAGGAGTAGGAGGACGGCGAAAGGGAAAGGGACGGGGAGGAGCGGTGCCGGGGAAGGCGCCGTTCGCGATCCACTTTGCTCTAGCGGGTTCGAGTTCGGATGGATCGGTGTTCGTCGAAGGCGATGCTGGAGTTTGTGCGCGGAATCGAGGTTCCGTGTGCCTGATAGCTTCCGTGTGTTTGCACCGGGGAGATTAGGATCGGAGATAGTAGTAGTGTCCGTGCGCGTTTCGGCTCGATTTATATTTTCAGTTTGCAGTTTGAGTAGGATCGGAAATACGGTGTGGTTGTCTGCAGTTTCGGTGCGTGGGGGAATCGATCCTTGATGATGGGCGAGTGTTGGGTTAGCTTTGTACTTTAACCCATGGATTTAGTTCTCGTCTTCTTCTTCCAAATGAACTGTCTCTATGTATGGAGATATAGATTGATGCACTTATCCTTGAGTCCTAGTGGGGATGGAGGTAACTTTGCTGCGATCTGCGCAAAAATGAGATTTATATTTTCAGCAGCTACAGGAGCTCAATTACACTCATCATTTCATTCTCTTATGTAGGCTCGCTGAGTTTGGTGTCGTCCGAGATGAGCACCAAGATAACGGTAACCTACAAGAGGAAGCGTGGCACGTCGCGTGCTCAGCAGGCTGATGACGCCACTCCGGAGCCTCCTCCTGTTTCTAGCAGTGGGGTTGCCGGCAGCGAAGCCACCAAAGACCAGGCCGATGCCGATGTAAGGAAGCCTGACTCTATCTCCTTTTTGTCGTTGTAGAATTGTTGATATTTGATGTTATTTCTGTTGAATCTGGCTCACTGTCGTTACTGATTTTCCCGCCTTTCTAAGATGGTAATGTTTTGCGCTTTTTTTTAAGAAGGGCGCAAAAGTGGCTGCGTGGAATTGTATAGTATGAGCCACGTGTTTGCACAACTATATCATTTGTGTCTTCAAAAATTGTGTGATACCAATAGGATGCAAAGACACTTGTATCTCAAGATGTCAATAGCTGCATGTTTTTAGAACACTATATTTGTTTGATGTTTGATATGAGCCACATGTTTTTACAACTCTATCATTGTTTCTATGGAAATCGTCGATATTTGATGTTATTTCTGTTGAATTTGGCTTTTTACGTTAGTTCTGTCGTTACCTTACTGATTTTCCCACCTTCTAAGATGTTAATTTTTTGCGCCTTTTTTAAAGGAGGGCGCAAAAGTGGCTGCATGGAATAGTACAGTATGAGCCACGAGTTTGTACAACTATATCATTTGTGTCTTCGGAAATTATGTGATGCCAATAGGATGCAAAGACACTTGTATCTCAAGATGTCAATAGCTGCATGTTCTTAGAACACTATATATTTGTTTGATGTTTGATGTTTGATATGAGCCACATGTTTTTAGAACTCTATCATTGTGTCTTTGAAAATCGTTGATATTTGATGTTATTTCTGTTGAATTTAGCTGTCTACTTTAGTTCTGTCGTTACTGATTTTCCCGGGTTCTAAGATGGTATTTTTTTGTGCCTTTTTTAAGGAGGGCGCAAAAGTTGTTGCGCCGAATAGTACAATATGATCCAAATGTTTGTAGAGCTCTATCACTCGTATCTTTGAAAATTGTGTGATACCAATCTGATGTAAAGACACCTATATCTAAAGATGTCAATAGCTGCATGTTCTCAGAACACTATATTCGTTTGATGTTTGATATGAGCAACGTTTTTTAGAACTCTATCATTGTGTCTTTGGAAATCGTTGATATTTGATGTTATTTCTGTTGAATCAAGCTGGCTATGTTAGCTCTGTTGTTACTGATTTTCCCGCCTTCTAAGATGGTAATTTTCCGTGCCTTTTTTAAGGAAGGCGCAAAAGTTGTTGCGCCGAATAGGACAATATGATCCACGTGTTTGTAGAGCTCTATCGTTCGTGTCTTTGAAAATTGTGTGATACCAATATGATGTAAAGACATTTGTATCTAAAGATGTCAATAGCTGCATGTTGTCAGAACACTATATTTGTTAGATGTTTGATATGAGCCACCTGTTTTCAAAACTCTATTGAATCGAGCCGACAACGATAGTTTTGTTGTTACTGATTTTCCCGCCTTCTAAGATGGTAATGTTCCGTGCCTTTTTTATGGAGGGCGCAAAAGTTGTTGCGCCGAATATTACAATACGATCCACGTGTTTGTAGAGCTCTATTATTCGTGTCTTTTATAATTGTGTGATACCAATAGGATGTAGAGACATTTGTATAGTCAATATATAGCCGGATGTTCTCATAGTATTATGCGTTATGCTAAGAAGATATAATTATATGCACTTGTTTATATTATGCAATAATAATGACCTGTCTGCATGATAGATGGAGAAACTCATCCTTATGTCCGGGCGTTGATGGAGTTCTGCGGCGAAATCCCGGTCTATATTTCCAGCAAGTCTCTGGATAGTACTTATGGCCATTGTTTTCTCATGTGTGTAGGCTCGCTCGAGTCGTGTTTTGCCGCGGTTCAACAAGAGTGCCAACATCACAAGAACCCACAAGAGGAAGGGTGGTACATCACTCGCTCAGACAACCGATAGAGCGACTTCGGAGCTTCCTACTATTTCTAGCGGTGGGCTTGCCTACAGCGAAGCCCTGGAAGACGGGACGGACAATGATAACGACATGTTCAATGGATCTAATCTTGTAAGAAACGTTGAGTTCTCCCTTTTCTTATTGTTGTAGGATTATTGATGTTTAATTTACTTTCTACTACATCTTTCTGTCCATGTTAATTCTGATGTTACTGGTTTTCCCGCCTTTTACGATTGCAAATATCCAAGGCTTTTTTAAGGAGGGCACAAAAGTTGCTGTACCAACTGGTACAACATGAGCTACATGTTTTTAACAACTCTGTCATTTTTGTCTTCAGAAAATTTTATGATGCAATATGACGCAGACATTGGTATCTAAAATTTCAATAGCTGCATGTTCAAGATGGTAAATTTTCGCGCCATTTTCATCGAGGAAAAATGAGTTGCTGCACCAACCAGTACAATATGAGCCACGTGTTTTACGAGATCTTATCATTTGTGTATTAGGAAATTTATGATACCAATATGATGCAGTCATTTCTATCTAAAAATATCAGCAGCTGGATGTTCTCAGAGTATTATATTTTTTATGATAAGCATGATATAGCATATTGCATGAATGATTATTATGCCATAGGTTCAATGCTTTATGATATTTTGATTCTATATTCATATGCCAATCGCCTTCCTTGTTTTGCAACTTGTACCTTTCCTCCTTTGGAAAATTGACAGTCTACCTCTACACAGCAACAGGATGCCTGCAAGCCAAAGCAAGAAAGCGCCATAGAAGAAACAGCTAAGCTATGTGCCCATGCATCGAAGAAAGAACAAAAGGAAATTCCATTATGTGAACCATTGCCACGGACGAAGCGACCTGGGATTTGTTCTCTCCCAGTAGCAGAGGTGTGGAATGATAAATTACATTGCACCAATGATGTAGTTAATCCAATCCCTGCTTCCAGTTCTGTATGGGATCTCAGACATGCCAACGGGACAACTAATCAAGCAAAGGATTCTAATAACTCTGCTCATGCCGCAATAAATTCTCATGAAGGGCCAGAAGATACTAGCAGACGTAATCAATGTAAGAACAGATTTAGTCCTCAGCTCACCTTCCGGAGGCGTGTTAAAAGGAAAATTAATTTGGACAAGCCAGCAGAGAGAAACTATACGAACGATAACGGCAAAGAATACTCAACACTGGCATGTAACCCACAGAGTTTACCAATTAATGCCACACCCTTGCTCAAAGTAACCGATGCCGATATTTTGGATACTGCAGATAAGGTATGTTTTGTGACTCGTCGTACGACACTCTTCTACTGTGCAGCCAAAATGACATTGTTTTAGCTCCTTACTCATATTCATGGGGCTATGGTTTCCTCTTACATCGTTATTTGCTTAAGCTGGATTTGGATATAGTAAGTTAACATCAAGGCGACTATTGAAGATGAATGGGAGTTAATTCTGTTGCCTTTGTACCCAACTATATATAATGTGTCATTACTTATAGCTGGTTTTATTTATTGTATTTGAACTATGACGTTATGTAATTTTGAAAGCATATATTATCTACCTCGTTTATGTTGATTATGAACATGATTGGTTCGAAGCCAAAAGTTGGCATGCCAAATATTGGGCTAATGCAAATGTTGGACACTGATTGGTTGGTTACCAACTTGTTTTGCCAATCTCTATTTTTTCCTCAAATTTTGGCAACTTTTGATTCTGCTTAATGTTGGTATCAAACGAGTTACATTTTTTCTGTGTGAAAAAGGACTATACAATTTTTACACAGCTGACAAACAAGAATAATGAAGGACATGCTTGGCGCAGTGGTAAAGTACTCCCCACTTGTGCCAATCGGTCCTGGGTTCAGCGCACCCTCTTTGCATTGCACTGTGCAGGGGTAAGGCTTGCCTCATATAATCCTTCCCCATCTAGTGTTGGAGCTTCTAGCATTGGGTCTCCCGGCAAATAAGAATAATGAGGCTATTACTTTACTTTGTTATAGAAAAATCCACCTGTTGTGGGGGCTTGTAGCATTGGGTCTATCGTGAGCAATAAGAATAATGCGGCTATTAGTTTATTTTATTATATAAAGAAAATGGGGGATGAGAACTGAGCTAGCACTCAGTTCTGACTAGTTTCTTTATTATATTATTGCATAATTTATATGTGCAATAACCAACCAATATTACAGGCAAATTTGTGTCGTAAGTATGACATAGATGTGCAGATGCCAAAAAAGTCACAAACTCACAATGCATTAACAGAAGAGAATTACATATATGTTCCACTGTAAACGAGTTAATAATGCCCTATTTATCTTGCTATATATGGTAAACTCGTCAGTAAATGGTGCACGCCGTGATGGCTAAAGGTGTAAAAAATTATAATGTAGCATTAACTCTGTATATTCTGTGTGCAGGTAGCTAAAGAAGGAACAAGTACTGGACTATCCGTATCAGCTCAACGCTTTCTTGACGAAAAAAGGTATAACAAAATTGTGTTTGTTAAGCGCTGTGATTTGACATCGGAGTAATGTTATTGCTACACTTACATTTTTGAACAACTAATTCGATGCTTCTTTTGCAGTTCACACATGCGAAAATCAACAGTGCAGCATACGGTTTCCACACGGCATATTGAAGATGCAAGAGCGGAGGACTGGAGCAAAACTCTAGGTCGTGTTGTTGAAGCAGCAGAAGCTGTTGAAATGAAGAAATTACATGGTAACGGCCCCTTCATAGTTAACTAGGCAAAATAAATAAATTTAAATAGGTTCAAACTTACCAGTATATCTGTGGACAGATGATCCTCCAGAGTCCCAAGGTTCAACAAAACATATTCCAATCATTGTCTTGGACTATGATAATGATGAGAGGGCCAGGGGTAAGCTGCCGGAAAATTCAAAGGTGGTTCAGGAGGAAAACAAAAGCAGATTTAATTTAGGGAAGATCAACCTGAATCCTGTCGAATTACCTCAAGAGAGGCTTCTCGGCCTGGATGACTCATCTTTTCAAAGGCTGCCAGATCAGGTGAGCATGACAAAATCATATATTTGGCCCATCTTTTAGGAAGTGCTTCATTGTTAGTTGTTTGCTTGCGCCGAGAATCCATCAGCCTCACCCACTTAGAGGATTATTTTTTCAGTCAAGACAAACCATTTTTGCTTTCTAAATCATACATAACTGTACTCTTCATTTCAAATGTTTTTATTCTGTCTCAGTTTCCATCACCATCTTGTTTATAAGCTTGAGACATGGATCATACCCATGGTTTTCACTTTTGATGAGATTTTGATGAATTCACTGAATTTCATTAATTTCAGCAGACACTGAAATATTTCCGTTTTGCCCACAATATTTTGGCAATTTCAGTAGTACACTGGAGTTCAAATATATTTTTAAATACTTTCCAGAAAAATTAAAATTTTAATTGAATTCAAGTGAATATTTTGGTGCTTTGACTGAAATGAAAACCGAAATCAGTGAAATTCACTGAATTTCGGTGATTTCGGTTGGTGCTGAATTTTTTCTGAAACTGAAATTGAAAACCATGATTATACCACCTTATATATATATCCATGCGTTAAACATTTTGTACTGCTTACAGGATCATTTTGTTACTGGACAAAAACAAGTTTCTCAACCAATTGAAAGGCTATTTTTTACGAAGGAGAAAGATGTTGTACATGGTAAAGAACAACATCAAGAGGGAACACCAGCATTGCATACCTTAAACTCAAATTTGTATGGTCCGACTCCGTCAAGGAAATCTGGGAGTTCGAAGGAACCAAAGAGCATGCCTTCAGAACTGAAATTCAGAATAATGGATAATGCTCCTGAGTCCAGTTTGGAACGCCGCTTGGATAGTTTCCAATACAGTGGCAAGTCCAGTGGCATTGATTTGCTGACAGAAAGGATCAGCACATACTCCTACAAAAGACACCAGGTTCCCTGGTCAGAAGAAGAGTTGGATTTTCTGTGGATTGGAGTGAGGAGGTATGGAACGAGTAATTGGAATGCAATGCTGAGGGATACACGGCTACGGTTCTCAAGCTCAAGAATGTCTGAGGATCTTTCTGAACAATGGGGCAAGGAGCAAAAGAAACTTCTACTTCTGGATCTTCAATCAATAAGAACATCTGCTCTAGGTTCTGAACGAACTCACCATATAGCTGAAGGTTATGCTGGAAGCTCAAAGTCCCCATTCCTTGCAGCCCAATCAGACCTTCCGTTGGGCGAGGTGCACCTTCAGAATGCTCATGCTTTGGATAGAGGCCAGCATTATTTATCAAGCCTTGGCAGGTTTAACCTTCATGAAATCAACAATGTGCCGAGAAATTTGTCTCTGGGAGGCTTCCCTGGAGTTTCTTCCTCGCAGGGGAGAACTGGGAGCAGGCGTAGGAAGACAACCAAGCTTCAAAAGTCAAACGGGTGCCAAGAACTACCAGAGAGGACGTCGTCTCAGCTTCTTCCCATCAACCAACAACCAATCAACAGCCTTCCTAAGTGGCTTACCAAGGGCGTCGACACCGGTAAAAGCTGGCTCAACCCGGCGATGCGGTCAAGTGCCTCGCAGGCGTCAGGCCAGTCCACTGCAGATCCACTGAAAGACGACACCGACGCATCGTCTGAAGAGACGGTGTCAGTTAGCTGAGTTTTGTGTGCCAAGTTTCATGATATTGCCAATGTTAGTCCCTTCCGTTGTGTCACTTAACAAACTTGTTGTCTTTGATGCTGAAGCTGTGGAACATTAGTTGAGTTTCAGGGAATGTTTTGATACACCTGCCATGTTTTATTCTAGCATAACCGGAAATGATTTATTAATGGTCACTGTTCATGGTTATACTCCTCCGTTCCATAATGCCTATAGATTTTATAAAAAGTTAAATTTGATGAACTTTGAACAAATTTATAGAGAAAAGTATTTACATCTACAATAACAAATATATGCAGTATGAAAGTACATGCCATGATGTATCTAATGACATGTATTTGGTATTTTAGATGTGGATGCTTTTCTCTACAAATTTGGTCAAAGTTTGTAAAATTTAACTTAAAAGTCTATTGACACTACATTATGGAATGAAGGGAATACACGTTATCTACATCTACTCTAGCGTCGTGTCAGATCTTTGCTAGAAGATGGGCCCCTGAATGGAAAATTTGGTTGGGTTTGCCTTAATTCCAGGTCCCAATTGATCCTGAAAAGTTCACTTTGTATAAAAAAAGGTATAACTTGCAGTTTTAAAATATCAAAGTTGCACTTTTTAGAAATGGATTGGGACTTGTAAGGGAAAAAAATTAAGTCGTACTAGGTTTAGCAAAACTGAATAATCTCTTCTTTCTCTTGGAAAGGTAACTAGTTAAGAAGAAATCATGGACAGCCTCGCTCTAGGATAGCCGGACCCACTGGTCCCTCGAAGAGACCATAGCAAAAGAGATAAGACAGGACCTTGTGCATCATGGTAGACAATGCTTGTTGCTCCGAATAGTCAGACCTTGAGACTCTACCCATCGGTGACTCGGTGTTGATCTTCGCCACGCCCTCTGTTGAAGAGAGCCATCTCTCCCGTCAACAAGGACAACCAAATATTGCATTTCGTTTTACTAAAATGGCCCTAGTTAACACCTACACATTTCTCCTTACCCAGAACCTTATTCCTTTTTGCCTAGGGTTGACGCTATGTGACAACACACTGATCGACTCCCATTTGGAATTCGGCATTGCCATTGCTTGGGTCATGGCTATTTCGTGGCTAGGGCCCGAGGCACCCCATTCTTTCCACTGTAGGCGCCATGCTATGCTTAAATTGAGGTATATGGTGTCATTTTCACAAGGTGTTGGCAATATAACTATTTGTATAAGCCGTCCATGAGGGGCCGGGTTATGTAAAGAGAGATCTATCAGAAGAAGCCCAAGACCAAGCATGAAGATGGTGGTTCAATAAAGGGTCTAAAGCCCACGGGCGACTTAAGGCCCGTCGTAGTAAACTGTCATAATGGCATGACTTGTATCATAAGGTAGATTTAACTAGTCTCCGAGCCAGACACTGTTTATGAGCCGGCCGGGACTCTGTAAGCCGCAGGGCGTCAACCCGTATATATAAGGGGATGACCCGCTGGCGGCTTAGGGCAAGAAACAACTCATCGAGAATCGGGCATAGCGTATCTCGCTCCCTGGTCATCGAAACATCAAGCAATACCAACCCAACTAGACGTAGGCCTTACCTTCACCGTAAGGGGCCGAACTAGTATAAATCTCCCGTGTCCTTTGTCCCGATTAACCCCTTTAAGCTTCCTAGTTGCGATGGCTCCACGACTAAGTCCTTGCAAGAGGACATCTGTCGTGACAATCCCACGACAGTTGGCGCCCACCGTGGGGCCAGCGCACGGTGGATTTGAGTTCTTGAAGGGCAACTTCGAAGGGCTGAAGGGATACGCAGTGGGCTGGATGACCAAGAGTCGTCGTGGCAAGATCTACATCGACGCCGAAGGCTGGAGCCCGACGCCGGCTCAATTGAGTACGGGTACCGGGTCCCCTTTGGCGGAATCCACGTCTTCATCGGCCGGATTGGTGAACCGGGCCCTGAACCGGACTGCTGCACCGACCTCGTCGAAACGGCTCAGCGTGCGAGACCCGTCCGAGCTCAACCCGTCGTGAAGCGTGCCTTCGTGGGTTGCATCCACGGAGGAGAGCTTTCTGAAGGATCTATAGACGATGGTGAGACGGCCATCCTCTCCGACGGTGATTCGTCCGCCGGTTCAACAGATTCATTGTATCTGTTACAGGATGGCGGGCTTAGGGGCTGTTCCGATGGCTCTAGTATTCCGGACCCTTATGAGCCGCCAAACTGGGCAGGAGTCTTCATGGCTGGTACTCAACCCGGTCAAAACTCAACGGCTGCAATAGCAATAACGTCCGGGTCAGGAGCGGCCGAGGCAGGAGGCCCTGTGCGCCCGCCTGCTCAGGTGCTGATGGATCTTATGGATAAGCTGACGGCCCTGTTAACCACCACAGTCATCCCTGCGAATCAAGATGAGCATAACACGGAGCTGGCACGGGTGCGTGAGGAGATAGCTCGGGCCAAGGAAGCCTTAGCAGCTGAGGACACCAGGTTAGCCACAGAACGGGCGGCTTTGGATGCACGGGCACAACAGATACAGTCAGAAGCCTTCCAGCTTACGATGAGCCTGAACGCATCTAACGAGGTGATGAGGAGGAGGCATCAGAAAACCCAATCCCGTTTACCTCCAGTTTATGATCCTCGGAATCTTTTCGCTACACCCGGAGCCGGCCCAAGTAACCCCCCAGATGCAAATCAGTTTATGACAGCCGGAACAGGAGGACCGGCTCAGCCTTGGGAGATGGCCCCTCCTCATGGAAACATGGCGCCGCCCCATTACGTACCGATACCGCCGGGTCACTTTTCCCACCCCATGGAGAACTTGATCGCAGCATCAGCACGTTTGGCGGCTCTCCCGGTGGATGGAGATGATCCAACAGCAGTGGAGACCCAAAGGATCAGAGACCTCGTCCAGACAGCCTTGGCTCAGCAAGAGACTTATTCCTACAGCCGGGACAGGATTCATTCAACTCCTCCGCCTTGGTTAGCTCTGGCTTGTCCAAACCAGAGTCCGAGTTACAGCAGGCACATGGAGTCAGAAGCTTTGTCAAGAAACGCCCAGCGCATGGAGACCTTGGCGAGACAAATCATTCGGCGGTCCAAATCCATGACAATTGTTCATGGCGAGTTACATCATCGCAGTGTCACTGGAGCTTTTCAACATTGTGTATCGCCTGCGGAGGGTCAGGAGATACTTCGTGAGATCCATGAAGGGGATTGTGGTCATCACGCCGGCTCAAAATCTCTTGTGGCCAAGGCTTTCCGTCATGGTTTTTATTGGCTAACGGCTCATGCTAATACGGAGGATCTGGTCAGTAAATGTGACGGATGTCAAAAATTCTCACGATGAGCTCATGTGCCGGCTCAAGAATTGAGGATGATTCCAATTACTTGGCCGTTCGCAGTCTGGGGGCTTGACATGGTTGGACCTTTCAAGAGGTCTAAAGATAAAAAGACACACCTCCTGGTGGCAGTGGATAAATTCACAAGTGAGTTGAGGCAGAGCCGGTCAGTAAGTGTGATGCAGCCACGGCGGTTCAGTTCATGAAAAAGGTGATTTTTCGTTTTGGTTTTCCACACAGCATTATAACTGATAATGGCACTAATCTCTCCAAGGGTGCCATGGAAGAGTTTTGTCAACGATAACATATCCGGCTTGATGTTTCGGCTGTTGCTCATCCTCAATCCAATGGTCAAGCAGAAAGAGCTAATCAGGAGATCTTGAAGGGTATTAAACCCCGGCTCTTGGTCCCCTTACAGCAGACGCCGGGTTGTTGGGTGGAGGAGTTACCCTCTGTGCTTTGGAGTATCAATACTACGCCTAACAGATCTACGGGTTACACACCTTTCTTCATGGTGTACGGAGCAGAGGCGGTTCTGCCAAGTGACATCCGGCATGACTCACCCCGCGTGGCGGCTTACGTTGAGGCTGATAACAAAAAAGCTCGTCAGGATGCACTTAATTTATTGGATGAGGAGCGAGACTTGGCAATAGCCCGCTCGGCGATTTACCAGCAAGACCTGCACCGCTATCACAGCCGCCGGGTTAGAAGCAGAACCTTTCAGGAAGGCGATTTAGTGCTCCGGCTCATCCAGGATCAGTCTGATATGCACAAGCTGTCCCCTCCTTGGGAAGGACCCTTTGTGGTCAGCAAGAATCTGAACAACGGGTCATACTACCTCATCGATGTTCGAGAGCACAAAGACTCACGTAAGTCGGAGGAGGAGACGAGCCGGCCGTGGAATATCGCTCATCTTCGGCCTTATTATACTTGAGCCACCGGCTCTCAAGATGTGGTGGAAACAACCAACAAGGAGCGGATCATATCTGAATCCGGCTTTCCCTTTGGTCCGGCTTATGATCATATCTGAATCTAGCCATGATCACTTGGGGGCTTCCTGTTCAAACATAGGTCGTATTCGAACCAAAGAGAACATAGTTGTTGATACCCACTTGATCGGCATCGCCAAAGCCACTGGGGGCTATATAATCATATCCGAATCTTAGCTTAACCCCTTTGGAACGGTTTACTGATCGTATTCGAATCAGAAGCCTTTGAATACTGTTTATTGTCTATTATACTTCATAAGCATGATTACTTGACTATCTTGAGATCTTCTTGAAAGCACTGTGAGATGGTTTTTGTTCTTCCGGCTTAATATTGATCACCCCAGGTTGTTAAGTGCCAGGTGAATTCCAACTTTCAAGAGTTAAATTTACCTGCAGGGGTGGGGTCATATAAGCTGGCGATATTACCAAAGGATCACAGGACAAGGCAAGCAATTTTTTGTTTAAAGGAAACAGAAGATCAATATAAGCTGGAAGGATATAGCGATGACGGCTTAAGAAAGTATTGAGCGCCATAAACATGCGCGAAGGCATGGCAAAAGTCGAGAGGTTTTTTCTACCCTATTACAAGACTCCCCGAGTCTGAATAATGAAGCATTGTTTTCAAAAAGACATAAACATATGACGCCTGGCGGTCACTCCTTTGGTTGGCTTGAAGAATTCGGGTTATCCTTCTCCGCC